AAAGTTAATATTACATAGTTTGAATCAGTAACAAATGAAACTGGAAATTTACTGGCGGGAATTTATGTTGGGAAATATAGTACAAGATGGATTTCATCTGAAAATCTTTTGATGGAAATATATTTGTTGAAATAACTATATGTTATATTCATATAAATATGTTATATTTGATGAAAATATATTTGTTAAAATAACGAGAAATATTATGGCCAAGAAAAAGATGAACTTATAAGAGATAAAACAATAGGCAAATGAGTGGGAGGAAAAAAAACATTGCAAATATTTTATTATAGGATTATATCCAGACTGATTTATTATAGATATTACCCTAGTATTTATTTAATATAGAAATGCATTGGAAATCATTTACTACAAAATTATACAGCGGATAAATTTATTATAAATAGTCTTTAATATTCATTTACTAGAAAAATGCATTTCACATGGTTTTGTATAAGAATAGATGACGGATGATATATTATAGATTTCCCCTTAATATTCAGTTGATATAGAATTCCATTGGCAATTATTTATTAAAGAATTATATGACGGCTAATAATGATGGAATGACTTTAGTATTTATTTAATATAGTAAGCCACTGGAAATTATTTATTATAGAATTATATAACGTATAGATTTATAATAGTTTTACTTAATATAGAAATGCATTGAAAATGATTTATTATAGAAATACATAGCGACTGATTATTATAGATTTACCGTAGTAGATATTTAATATAGAAATAGATTAACAATTATTTATTAAAGAATTCTATATCAGTATTTGCCCTACAGTATATTTAATATGGAAATACTTCGGAAATATTTATTATAGAATTATATAACACATAAAATCTATCAACGATTTCCATTAGAATTGCGCTGGAAATGGTTTAGCATAGGAGGGTATAATAAATAATTTATTATAGTTTCTCCTTAATATTTATTACATGTATAAATGGATTGGCAATAATTTTTATACAATTATATATAGGCTGATTATTATAATATTACCACAGCATTTATTTAATATAGTAATGCATTGGAAATTATTTATTAAAGATTTATAGAACGGATAATCTATTATAGGATTACCTAAGTATTTATTTACAGATCGCGACAGATATTAGGGAGATGTGTTTAAATATACTTTAATGTCTAAAAACAAATTATTCAGTATTGTTATTGTTTAGCTAATAAGCATTATAATAACACAAATATTATGGGAAAAAAATAAGTGAAATTACCTGAAAATACAATTCAAGTACCAATTTCAGTTATGTGTTTTCTAGATTAAAAGGAACACTTG